TCCCGCACGTGTTCTGCTGTGTTCCGAGTGTTTACCACCTGATGTCCCGCACGTGTTCTGCTGTGTACCGAGTGTTTACCACCTGACACCCCGCATGTGTTCTGCTGTGTTCCTTTCACCACGTAGTTCTTTTATTTCATTCAGGAATCCTGATTGGCTGTGTTGTGACTGTATTCACGATCAGCCAATTCAAACCCCATGCAAACAAACCACTTTGCATTTACTTACCAGACAGTTTTATCCAAAGCAGCGTATATTTTAGAGAGAGCAGGGTCAGATGGCCCCTGGAACCCATTAGTGAAATCACTATGCCAACCCCAGAACCTTCCAATCACGAGGCAGCATGATGGTGCATTGGTCAGCACTGTCGCCTCACGCCTCTGGGCCACGTGCCCATCCAGGGTTGTTCCCTGCCTCGCACCCGTAGCCTCTGGGATGGGCTCTGGATCCCCTGTGACCCTGAATAGGACAAGCGGTTACAGAAGAGGGATGGACCTTCCAATCACAGGCACAGCGTCTGAAGCCGCCGAGCCACACAGCACCACGTGTATTGTGATGCAGCATATTCTTTCTGAATGTCTGTGAGTTCACCTTAAAGCACTGTCAGTGCTGATTCAGTGGCTTCCAAGTCAGAGATCCAGTGACACGTTTCCCACCCAGTTTGAAAGTGTTACCCTGTCCATCTGCAGGCTGGTAAGGAGCCATTTACCACAATGAATTTGGAGGTTCTCTCTCTATCAAGCCAGACGTAAAAGAGCAGTGGGTTTGTCGGTAACATTGCCCATTACTATGGGAAGGGTAAGGCTCAGACCCATGTCCCTTTCAATATGATTGCAATACTTAATATTGCTCACTGTACTTCTGAGCAAATATTGTGGATGGTATTACAGTAGTAATTAGTATTAATCAGAGTAATGTTAAATAACTGGTGTCAGCTGATTTCTCAGCTACAGTATATTATGCATTCTTTGTGATATAATGCAGTTGGTCATAGCTCTGTGATATCACACACTAAATACAAAGGTTACAGACTATTAAATTAAGCTAACTTTACATGTAAAATAACCATTTTCAAAGTAAAAAACATTCATTGGTGTTGTGATTTTTCAAACAGCTCACAGACACATTATCTGGTTTCAAAACAATGAGGAAATTGGTTAAAAATCTAAACATAAACAGAAACAAAAGTATGGAAAACCAATAGATGTTTTAGAACATCCAAGGAAGTCAAAGGAGCTTCTCGCCCACTTATTAGATGTCAGTCATTTTACAGTTCATGAGGCTGAACTGACTGCCTAGTTCTGGATGCATTTTATAACAGTTCGCTAAGGAAACAAACATGGTATTTCACAAAAATGTGATTGAAATGAGAAGAGTCTTTCTTCTCAATAAATATATTAGAGATCATATCAATAAATTAAACTTACATTCAGGTTTTCACATGTACCAGAGTTATTTCAGTACCATAAATGATTCAATGATTGTGTTTGATAGAGGCAGCGTGTTTGATGTGTGTTAGATGCAATCACAGGTGGAAATAATGTGAATGGTTATGACTGATCTGCCCACAAACAAACATGGTACTCCCACAATATTCTTTGGGACTCGTGATGGACAAAATGACTCTCCATGAAACAGTTGCTGTATTTTTTGTCCCAACTAGATGGTGCTCTTGGTTTACTTTGGTGCATGCTGCATGCCCTTTTTTGAGCAGAGAGTGGAGAGCAGAGATCTAGTGAGGTCAAAAAACACAGCAAATAGTTCATGGAGAGTCATTTTGACCATCACTACCAGGGACATGCCCCTACCGTCGATACCCAAATCTATGCCCTAGAACGTGACAGTCAGAGGGATACCAGCAAAAACTGAACCTATGCCTATAGAGATGAGTCCATAACACCCTTGATCCTGTAGACATAGTGATTAAATTGAAAATGACAATGAATGAGATGGAGCAGGATGGTGCTGTAGTGCTGTCCATCATCGTACATGAAAGCAATTGAGTTTTATAATTCATTCGATATAAAGTGCAACATGCATGTGTGAACATCACGACACCCTAAATCAGCTGCCACCATTATAACCATTATATATTTGAAACTCTCCAGAGATCTGTGGTTGTGCTGTTCTGCACTGGGGGCCGTCAAAACCATGAAGACTCCTGCAGCTTCTATCATTGACTGATGAAAAACATGACAAAATAAAAGTACAAATATTTTTAAGAAGTGATTTCCCCTGGGAGACAGACCGGTTTGTTTTTCCATGACTCCGTTCCGAAAGAGTGGTCAAACATAAATTCTTAGCTGAATACATTTTGAGTGATAATGTAAACATTGCCTTACCCTAATGAGACTTGCATGGTCTTTGTCTGTTTTTCACACTGATTTGTTAATCAAGCTGTCTATTCAGTCTACGGGCATGTTGAGAAATTTCTACTCCTCCCTTATAAATAATACAGTAGGGACATTCGTTAACGGCACACAAACGAGCACAATGCCAAATAAAAGCTTGGCATAGCCGTATGCTGCTAGGTCAGGACTTCTCACAATGAGAGCCATAAAGCCTGGTTGGGGTGGGAGGGGTATAAAAGCAGCAGGAGCTGTGGGCAGCGGCAGAGCGACTCGCCGGGGATCTACCGATCACCATGGGCAGGGCAAGTACCGATTAACTTGGTGCCTCTCACAGCGTGTGACAGCGTATGACTATGTTCAAATGAGCAATATTAATTTAAATTGTGTTAAATGCTTGTTGTTGGAGAGCGAATACTGATTTCCTTAGTTCCCACTACACCATATGACTGTGATTTACATGTATAAAATACATTTCAGCTGCGTTAAAGTGAATGTTTATTAATTATCCATTTCTCACTGGGGCGTTTGCATCTTGCACATGTGCAACTATAACAACTACACACTGTAATAGTTGTCACTGTTGTTAATATCTTCTCGTATAATCAGCGAATATTTGCAGTGATTTGCAGTTTTACTTGTGCTTGCAAAAAAATGCACATCATACCCATTAAGACAACTAATTGGCTTGTGTATAGCTGAATGATTCATGATTTATTTTCAGATCATCTTCTACGAGGACAAGAACTTTCAGGGTCGCTCTTATGAGTGCAACAGTGACTGCGTGGACCTCACCTCCCACCTGAGCCGCTGCTACTCCTGCAGGGTGGACAGTGGCTACTTCATGGTCTATGAACGGTCCAACTACGTGGGGAACCAGTACTTCCTGAGGAGGGGCGAGTACCCGGACTGTACCCGTGGGATGGGATTCAGCGACTTCATCCGGTCATGCCGTTTGATCCCTCTGGTATGTTCCTCTGCACGCGCTCTTATGATTCTGAAATCATAGATCACTTTGTTTAGCTGGACTCCCCATCATCATTAATGTGTTAAATCTACTCCACAAACAGCACAGAGGACCCTTCAGAATGAGGATCTATGAGTCTGAGCGTTTCGGAGGCCAGATGGTGGAGCTAGCGGATGACTGTGACTCCATCACAGAGCGATACCGCATGTCAGACTGCCAGTCCTGCCATGTGATGGACGGGCACTGGCTGCTGTACGAGCAGCCTCATTACAGGGGAAGGATGATGTACCTGAGACCTGGGGAGTACCAGACCTTCACAGACATGGGCCTGGGCTCCGTCAACTTCACGTCCATCAGGCGCATTACAGACACCTGCTAAAACGTCAGCTGTCAATGTGTCAGAAAATGAGCTTCTCCCAAGATGTCAAAAGCCTACAAACATGAGATGAAATAAAGACGTATTTAGCCGCTTTGACATGTCTGTGTTTGCTGTTACTCATTAACAAAATATAACTGGAAACAGGAAAAATTAACAAGGTGAAAAATCAGCATCACTCCTCCCGGACGTACGTTCACATCCCCCAAGACAATGAGTAAAGTCACTACCACGTACCAACATGCTTACAGGAACTTCACCTGTGTCTCTCAGTCAGTACTGAGACGGGCAAGATATTGATTGGTTTACCTACTCAATGCTGAAAGTAATACTAAGAGCAAGCAAATTCTGATCTGTTACTGGGCAAAATGTCAGATTTTGCTAATGAACCTGTATTTCCTGAATGGGCTTTAATTGAAGCATAAATATCGCATCTCAATTTATTCACACACACACACACACACACACACACATATGTATTTGCCTTAAGGCAGTTGACAAGAATGTGTGGCGATCCATTACTATCGATCCATTATGACAGAAGGACTGAGAAAGGCTATAGATCATTCTGTCATGATAACTGGTCAGAGTTAGAAACAGAGTTGGTCAGAGTGAAAACAGGACCATATTAATTAAATCCTGAGCACGTTCTTGGGCCAAAGGACACAGCCCAAACTGTGTTAATAAGGTCCTGAGCACGGTCTCAGGCGAAAGGACACAGCCCAAACTGTGTTAATAAGGTCCTGAGCACGGTCTCAGGCAAAAGGACACAGCCAAAACTGTGTTAATAAGGTCCTGAGCACGGTCTCAGGCCAAAGGACACAGCCCAAACTCTNGTCCTGAGCACGGTCTCAGGCCAAAGGACACAGCCCAAACTCTGTTAATAAAGTCCTGAGCACGGTCTCAGGCCAAAGGACACCAGGTCAGGCATTCGATAAACGCAGTCAGCAAGATGCAAAGCAAATCCAGAAACCGGACCATAAGTCAGAACCAGAACAAATCAAGCAAACTGATCTCATGTTTATTTGTCATTAATGGCTCATAATGCACATTATCTCAAGTAGCTACTATATTTGTCCATGATTTGTTCTTGAGTAGTAAATGATTTACTGCTCAGTTATTAAGGAACCATATCGTAAACTGATATCCATATTTTTTATAATTTGGGTTCATTTTCAATATAATAAAATGAGTAGAATTTCAGTATTATTAAATTATTCACTAATGTAAAAACCTAATGTTAAATAATGTGCTGTTTCAGGGTGATGTGCTCTTTGTATTGTCTACACTCTACACCATGTAGAAAAAGAAGAGACATCATTATTCCATATAATACGGTGCAAATTCATCGCGATCATTTATAACGTAATTCGTTCTCGCCCAGAATTATTCAATAGTTCACCACAAGGTGGCACCAAACAGCAGCAAACCGCAGGGTCGTGGTCTTAACGAGGCTTCGGTTTATTTCTTTACATAAAAGCAGGTTTTACAGAAACCAAAGCTAATGAGGTGCACACATTTGGTGTTCTGCCGATTTTGACTGTAGTTGAGACTTTAATTTTCTTGTTTTTATAATGTAAAGATTTCAAAACAATCTGACATATCTCCATTCTATTTCCTCATGTCATATTTGGTTAATAACAATTTCAATACAATTTCATGCATGAATTTAAGTGAAAATAATTTTTTAATCTTGTAAAATTATAACTATGGGATACAGGGTTTCCCAGGTCTGAATCGCGTGTGGAATCAGATGCATAAAATGCAGGCAATGCAAACTGCACCCTTTGTGCAAGTGACAATCAGATATTAGTGTCCCTTGGCAGCAGAATAACTGGTCTTTTGTTGTTTGGAAGCTGTACGGCTATTTGTACAGTTGAATGATTTAACAGAGAGTGTTTTTCATTCACTATGTAAAACAACAGGTACTGTTTGAAGATAGGCGATCAGTTGGCCAAGACAGTGGGAAGGTATAGCTGACTGTCCTGCCGTGCAGCTCTTCAGAGGTATGTAAAATATGGGAGCCCAGCGAGGGCCGAGCACCACAGGCATCGCGGGCACAGAGACCAGCGAGGCCCGAGCACCACGGGCACAGAGACCAGCGAGGCCCGAGCACCACNCGGGCACAGAGACCAGCGAGGCCCGAGCACCACGGGCACAGAGACCAGCGAGGCCCGAGCACCACAGGCATCGCGGGCACAAAGACCAGCGAGGCCCGAGCACCACGGGCACTGCGGGCACAGAGAACAGCAAGGTCCGAGCACCAAGGGCACAGAGACCAGCGAGGTCCGAGCACCACGGGCACTGCGGGCACAGACACCAGGGAGGCCCGAGCACCACGGGCACTGCGGGCAAGAGGACTGAGGCCTCGAAGCAAAAGCTTGCTGAATATACAGAACTGTAAAAAAAAAAGATTTTAAATAAAAGCTGAACTGAAACTGATCAGCCAGTTTTGTGTTAATATATTAATGAACTATCAGTTTGGTACTATAATGACTGCTTAATTTATACTCTGTACCTTAACCACAATGTACAGCAATTTTACAGACATTATACAGCAGTGTTAGGGATTCAGCATAAAGCCATTTAACTGGCTCATTTCATAAAGACAATACAAACCAGTTTTGCCATCTGATCATTCCTGCTATAAACAAGACAAACCCCCAAATCCAATTAACAAGACACATTTCACTTTTCAGAATAACATTAGGATAAGAGATTGTAGTTCTTTAAATGGCGTGTACTAGGTGTTCCATCTCAATACATCTGGCTGGTTTCTCCATAACCTAGGATCTCAGTTGTTTTGGTTCTTGACCTCCAAAAGCCACAAGTTTCTGGTCCACATGGTGCAGCTGAGCACACCTTCTATGCATTACTGTGGGGACATAGGAGCAGAAGAGAGTCTGGCTGCCTGTCCAGTGACACACACACTGCTCATTCTTGGTGTTGTCAGTAATCGTGTGCATTAGTCATCAGACACCCGCATTACCGTCACTCAGCAGCTACCGGGATGAGAAACAGGCAAATTCTTAAACGCTAAAGTTTTCTAGTCCCACACAGTTTATATATAAACGTGTATCAAATGGCATCAGAGCAGTGTTCCCCCACTCAACCCCAAAAGAGTAACCTAGTTTCTGAAGTGAAGCTTTTGTCAAATCTGTGGCAACAGCTAAATGTAAGTGTTATCACCATGGTAACATTACCATGGCAACAAGAGACATTGCTGGCATGCTTTGGACCATAAAGGGAATAGAACGCCATCAAGGTGCTTTCTCCTTTAATTTAATGATTGCTGTCTCACTTCTCATTTAATAGAGCAGTTTGTCCTTACAGACAGGGGAACATTAAAAACAATTACAATCTGTTGTACCTGGAAAGTGCAAAAAAAAAAAAACATTTCAAAAACACCAAAATAAAAATCATGCTGTACATTATTTATATATCATATTTATAAATAGTCACCTACACACACATACACCCATCAAATTTGAGGAATTGCAAAATGAAGCAGCTAGAATTACGATCCGCCGGATTTTGTTCAACCCTTCCGAGAGAAATCGTTCTTCATTTGGTTCTTGTGGAAACTGCAGCCCGTTAATGGAATGACGCCGTGTACGAGCGATCACTGGCGAGACACATCAATTGCATAACTGCACGTGACCTTCCTTTAGGTCATGTGACCCAAAACAAGAAAAGGCACTGCCCTTGTTTAACAGTGGAATTTTTAGACAGAATTTAAAAAAAAAAAGAAAAAAAAAGAAAGTTCTGTGACTGCTTGTCAAGATTCTCAGATTTGACCAGACTTGTTGGTCCATTAGTGCCACCTGCTGGATAAGAGGAATCTTTGTTTTTTAAAACCCAAATCCTACTGCTGTTCCTTAAGCCCGGCATGCTGGTGCTGAGCCCAAGCTAAAAGCAACATTCCCCAGATGGATACAAGTGTCATTAACTGGCTTCCCACCAAAATATTATAAAAATGTCCATGTTCATCAACATGTTGGCATATAAAACAATTTTATAACAGAAAGATCAACAAAAAAAAGGTTGGATTTGGATAAGACACAGAGTTCAGTGTCTATAAGAAAAAAAAATTCAGATGCAACAATAATTAAAACACAATCATCCACTCAAGTACGCAGGAAAATAAGCGACGACACAGGCTGTCAGCATCAGCATGAGTCACCTACCGCAGTGACCACCAGTGAGCACCCCACTGGTAACCAGGAGGCAAACTGGGGAGAAGGTGTGACATCATCAGAGTGAACAACCTTTGAGGACCAAACCCGGGACAGAGATGAGATGTTAGCGACTATGCTAGGCGATTGGCGACTTAACCATCCTCACCTCCAGAAGCGGCCTGGAGGAGATCGCCACCATCATTGCTGAAGGTCAGACCCTCAGACAGGCACCATGAAGAGGCTGCACTCCTCACCCCAGCTTAGTTAGGGTTACCGGTCATGTTTACTTTCAGGCTCGCACTGTCCATATGATATCTGGCTGAAGATACGGACCACAGAATGAACCCACAGAAAGTGACTGTTTTCCTGTGGAGCGCTGGCTCCTGTGCTGAAGAGGCGTGACCTGCCAGGGCCTGGTGCCGCTGCTGGGTGAGCACCATGCAGCCCTCCTGGTAGGTGCCCGCGGAGTCTGCTGCTCGCCATCGCGCCAAGAGAGAGCACCGGCATGCAAACTCATGGCGTGGGCAGAAGAGACGCTCACGACAGGCCCAGCAAAGACCACATGTGCCAGACACAGGCTTACATGAGCTGGTCACGACGACTGAGGACTGGCGAGAGACACAACTCTGTACCCACAAGCAAGGGAACGGTGGGTGGGGGGGGCACACCAAAGACCATTGATGGTGACTCAGCATGACCAGACTGGCACTTTGCATAAAAGCCATAGAAGCGTCAACTGCACCCTCAGAGATGACAGGGCACAAGACTGTAAAACTTACAAAGAGCACTTAAAGAAAAGAGATAAATGTATGAAGATATGTCACTTTAAAAAGTGTCCCTGTAGGACAGGCAGAGCACACTGACAGGGGGGTCAGCTACCTGAGATCGCCCACTAGCGGCCTGGGTGAGCTGCATTTTTCTAAATCACCTCGATCCTCTGAGAAATGGGACATTAGCAGGGTGGTAATGGGGGGGTATGTGACTGGGACCTAGGGCTTGGAAGGCGGTACACAAACAGATCACTCCTCAGCGCCAGCGCCGGCTGATCCTGCTGGAACACACACACACACACACACACACACACACACACAGACTTACTAATGCACAAACGTGCACACACAAAATATACTCTGTCTTAGTAAAATTAATCTGACAGCAAAGAACATTCAAATCCAGTATGGCAAAATCCCTATTTCAGCTGGATGAAAATTCAAGTGATTGACAGGGGCTTGGGCCAATCACATTGCAGATGAGTAGTGCCAGAGGAGAACTGACAAATGCCAGCAAAATTTGGGGGGCAGTGACGGTGGGCTGGAGGGGGAGGGTCAGTTCTGGTCCCGGGTGTGGTACTCTGTCTCCCCAGCAGAGATCTGGGTCAAGCGCTTACTGGATCCCCAAAGCTTGCGGGTGATTTGGCCAGAACGCATCTGAGAAAGGTATGAGAGGAGGAATGGGGAAAAGAAAGAGTGAAGGTGGGAGAAAAATGGATGAAAGGATGATTATTAATTTACTGATTTCTCATTCACTTGCACATGCATCAATCCAAATCCAGTGGGAAATTATCGGGAAAGAAACAGGACAAGTTTATGGTCCTTGGAGGGGGGGGGTCCTTGCAATGTCATTATGTTCTGGGCATCTGGGAAATTAAGGAGAGCCAGACTATTCAGAGGTCTGCTATGGAACACGAGCCATTCGCCCCGATATCAGAGATGGCTGCAGGGGTGAGTCCCTTCCACACCCAGCAAGGCCCCCCCTGCCTCTCAGGGGGCGGGACGGAGGTGGAGCAGCCGGGCAGGGGAGTGTACTCGGAGGGGGGCCAGAAGGGGCGAGGCGATGAGGCCGGCGCCCCCCAGGCCCTGGGCGATGTAGCTCCTGAGAGAGGTCTTTACCTCTGCCGGCTTGCCCACGCCCACCACGATCAGCTTCCCGTCCTGCAGGCCCACCAGCACGTGGCTCTGCTCCTTGGTGACGGAGACGCAGTGAACCGGCACCCTCATAGCCATGGGTGCCACACAGAGGGAGAGGCTGCGGACAGCAGGGTAATAAAAGCAGTCAGACAGGGGAGGGTCCAGCCCTCCGGCCGGTGCCCCTCCGTCTGTGTAAACCAGGCTCTCTTCTATTCCAGCTTCAACCTTTACAGGACGTTTCATGGAAAAGTGAGCCAGCCAGAAATGCAGATCAACTCCTGCAGACCGATGACTGCGACTGCGTAGCCAGTTACATACAGAAAAAAGTCCTTATGGACCAGTAAACCCAGGACGAAAGAGCAGTGGGGCCCAGCTTACCTGTAGAGGTCCCGGATGGACAGGAAGCCCTGCTCGCTCCCCAGTACTATGTGCTCCCCGGACACACACATGTCCGTCACCTGCTCCTTCAGCCCCTCTGAGCACAGGCACTTCCCATTCACGGAGTACAGGTGCAGTGCATTCTTGTCCTGGACACATACAAATGGCTAGAGTGAAGCATCAGTGCTAGAACAATCTAACCTTTATCTTCAAAACCAAAGACCTAGGGCTAGTATCAAAGAAAAAATCTGGATGAGGGAAACCTATCCCAGAATCCACTGCAGTGTTAAGTTTGTTGATAAAAACGAAGGTGAAAAATACTCAACATTTTTTCTGTGATGAAAACAGAGCAAAATGAAATAGACATCTTTAATGACCAGAAGCAGGACTAAGTAAGTGCATGTGCAGACTTGTGTGGAATGAAAGTCTCACGCCAGCCAGCCAACCACAGACGTGATGCTGCTCCTTCCTGTATGCTGTGAGTGTGCTGGCTGAATAAAACCCTGTTCGTTTGCGAACTCTGCTGCTCCCGCGCCCTTAAGATGTGTAAATATGCAAGTATTTTGGTTTCATTTATATTTTATGTAATGATAAAGTTCATATAAAGCCATTTAAAAGCTGCAGTGTTCTGCATTACAGCAGTTAAATCGATGTTCTTAAAGACTGCATGTTCAAGGCCAATGGCATGATATAATTGCAGCTTTACAGATGCAGGAGTGGATAGAGGAGGACTAATATGAAGGCACACGCATGTGTAGACTGCCACTAAACCTGTTAGTTTCATTTGACCACAGGTTTTTCAGATTTAGTCGATATCCTCTAATTTTCCTCAACTAAAACTCAACTAAAAAAAAACAAAAAAAAACTAAAAGACTAAAACTAAGTTGCATTTTTGTCAAAGGACCAAGACTGAAACGAAATCAAAATATGCTGTGAAATTAACACAGATCCACTGGGGTGACCAGTGGCGAATAAGGGAGCTGCTGATTCACCTTTAAAGAGGCCTTGCCCTCGATGCAGGAATGGACCACCAGGTGTCCCTCCCAGGACACGGCCAGGTGCAGGATGGAGGCTGGCAGTGAGCTCTCACAGGGGGGGCGCAGCGAGCGCATGTACTGGCCCCTCCGCACGGTGTGGATGATCACGGTGCCGCCCTGTCGGATGTGACCATAGAAACGCTTAGAGCCACACACACAGACATATGCTTACCTTAATGAAGAGCGAGGTTTACTGGAGGGGGAGTTCTTGGTACCCGCGATCCTGAGACAGCCATGTCCAGCTCGGTACTGATGCTGACACTAAGCACCTCGTCAGTATGTCCGTAGAGCACCTGCATGGGCTTGGAGCTCAGTCCCACCGGCGCTCCGCCCTGGGCACAGAGAAACCAAACTGTTAGCCCAGGAGTGACAGCCATCAAGCTAAGGGCGCCCACATGTCACACTGGCCCCACCTGCTGGAGGACCTGCCACACCATACAGGTGGTGTCCTTGGAGCCCGAGATCAGGTGGATGCCACAGTAGTCTGTTGCCAGGCAAGTCACAATGTCTACAGGCAGAACAAACACAGGCTGTCAGTGGAAGACGAGAGACAGGAGGATCCCCGCGGACAGCTGTCAGATCTCTGTGTCGATGGGATCAAACTGACTCGAGGATCACTAGGTAATCGCTGTGCAGCCCTCGCGGCAGAGTGCAGACGGCGCCCCTGGTGGCTCATACCCATATGGCGGATGTGCTGGCTCACTGTCTTTCCTTTGGTCAGGGACGTGACCCGCAGGCTGTTGTCCCAGTGGCCCCCGGTGAAGAGCAGCTTGCCGTCGTGCGACACCACGAAGAGCTGAGCCGTGATCTCCACACCGGGGGAGAAGGGCCCGGCTAGGAATCGCTGCGCCCTGTGGGGAGAGGCAGACGCGGGACCCTCAGACGCACTGCTTGTCTGCTGCCGACGCCCTGCGTGTTTGTGCAGAGAACACACCTGGGGTTGGAAACGCTGGGGTCCTTAATGAAGGTGAAGTAGTTGGAGATGTTCCTGTCATAAGGCAGCCATCCGTGCATCCCCATCAGACAGGTCCGGCTCAGCGTCACCTGGAAACCACAGCCGTAAGGCAGTGTCCATGCTTGCGGACGCTGCCACCTCAAGTACAGCCTCAAACGCTCAACGGGCTGAGGAAGCTCACCAGGGTGTCAGGGCTGCCCTGAGAGATGAAGGAGTGTGACTGGTCTTTGGGTACGACTGCCTTCACTAGGGGCACATTGTCACAGATACCCTGCAGCACAACAGCCAACGATACACAGCCGGTAAATTCAAAAATCATGTTCCACAACCAGGATGAGCCAAAGCACCTCCCCTTAAAACACTCCAGCCTCATGCCTCACCTCCACGAAAAAGGATTTGAGCTCGGACAGGTGCTCGAACATGTTGAGCGGACAGGTATCCAGCTTCGATTTCCTCTTCCCAACCTCCTCGAGGGACAGGCGGATGGGGTGCGGCTCCTGGGAGGGGCCAAGCACTACTGTGAACTGAGCCAGCCCGCAGAGACCACAGGCTGAGTACCGACTGCAAAATGCTTTAACTACAAATTGACCACATGCAGAAGATTATCCTCTTCAATTATCGGTTCCTTGGCACAGAAGGTACAAAGTCAATTGCAATCCACTTTCCCCAGAGTACTGTGCCTATTCTGCTTCTGTGGAGGGGACCAACCAAACACATCAGGGATTCTGAATTTTAAGGAGTCACATGGGAGCCCAGTTTCAGAACTAGAGGCTGGTTTCCAGGACACCAGCAGAGGGCGATACCTTCAGGAGCTGGCACGGCGTCTGTCCGAAGTTGCTGATCATCCCCTCGAGGGCCTTGCGCTCCTTCTCGTCCGTTATGGCATCCAGATCCACTGCACCTGCAAGTGCCCAGATGTGTAATTGGTGTGAGCTCCCAACCTCTGGATTTGCTCACCAAGAGGGGGCTAGATGCACTCGTACCTTCATAGGTGCAGTAGTAGAAGACGTTGAGGGCCTCCACAGCCGCCGGGCCCCTCTGCTTGTATCCGAAGATCAGGTCTATCCACTCGTGCAGGTGGGCCGAGACGTGCTCGGACTCCTGGGATATTAGGGCGGACATGCACGTGTTAGCCTCGAGCTAGCGGGCTCCACGGCTGCTGTGTCGGAGGAGGGGGTCTCCTGTGAGCACAGGCACCTCCACTCACCAGCGCCTTCCTGTGCTTGTAGATAAAGTCTTCAGGGGACTTTGCCCACTTGGGGAGGATGACATCGTTGACGCTCTCTTTGGATAGCTGCAGGCGACCCAAATCGAAATCTGCGTGGAGAATGAAATCAGCGCAGGGAACCTCTCTCAGAGAGAGAGCATTGGGCTGCTAGTACCTGATCGACCTTAAGCTATTCACTGTTGCATCGACACGGTCAATTTTTACAAAATGTACATTGGGTCCCGCTGTGACCCTGTACTGGAGTGGCTGGGAAATAGATGGGTACATGGCCACTGCTCCACACAATAATCCAGAGCCCTGGACAGATGGTCAAGACTCACTATTTTGGTTCTCCAGGAACTCTGGAAAGTAGAAGAATTCTGGGATGAGCTCCTTGACATCGTTGGGATTGTCCATCAGTACCTGCCAGGTGGCTGGGATGGAGTGGAACTGGCGGTCGGCACAGTCAAACCTGGCAGAAGTCATCACGTGAGCACCAGAGAGCCATGGACAGCCCCAGCGACAGCCACCCCACCCCCTCTCCACCCACCCTTACCTGCCACTCTGCAGCTGGATGTGCAAGGAAGTGAAAGGCTCCACCCGAATCAAGTAGTGCATGACCCCAGCGGCGTTGGAGTAGTGCGTGCCATAGTGGAACTTATCTATGGTTCCCGTGGGGTCCTCAAAGCTCTCATACCTCAAGAAACACAGGCTCAACTGTGAGTTCCTCTTAACTGATACCACCACCCATTTTTGTTTTCCAAACATCAACTAGTGCACTTCGTTTTACAAAGGAATTGCTTGAATGCAAAGTGCAATCTGCTTTAAGATCTCCAAAAGGCCAAATAGGGACATACTTCTCCTTCACGGCTTTGGCATTCTTCTCGTTGACCACGGCGATGGGCTTGGAGAGATCCCGGAACACCCTTGGGTCTGTGAGGTCCAGCTCATCAGATGTGTAGTCAGCTAAGACCCAAGGAAACTGACAGGCGAAGGATTTCATTGGTTGTCATCTTCCGTTTAGGTTTAAAACAGTCCTTCCCCAGAGGCTATTAAGAAGGACGCTTACCACAGGATATTGGGCCAAATCATTGTAGGTACGGCCTGCAATGGTGTTTAGCTGGATGAGGTAGTCAAAGTTGGAAATTTCCCGGTTCACCCATTTCTGAAAAAGAAGAGGAAAATGACACCAGTGGTCTTGCAAATGTCAGCTACCTGAGGAGTCAGTCCCCTAAAACGAGCCAGCGGCCCAGAGCCCCGACCTGAGTGAGCCCTGATGCTCTCAGCAGCTCCTGAGGGGACCGTGTGCCATACAGGTTGAAAGAGCGGAGGAGCAGAATCCGATTATAGACCTTGTTCCGCACCTGCAGATTGAAAAGAGCATCGATGGTGATGCACAACAGGCTTGAGAAAGACAGGAATGAATGGAAATTCAATGGCAAGCGGAAAGTCGGGGGGGGGGGGGGGGGTCTCACCTCTTTCTTGAAATTGAGGAAGTAGTTTGTCTGGTCGATGAGGAAGACCTCCAGGGCAGAACGCCTCAGGTTATACCTGCGCAGGTGAATCTCCCGGATCTGTGACAACGGCCACTTGAAGTCGTAGCCCACGCCTGAAACAGGGAAACTGCCTGTCTATCGGCTCCACCTGTCCCACGGCCGCCCCTCCATCTCCTCTTACAGCCTCCGTCAGCCTGAATACCCTCCCTCCCACGGCCTCCTCTCCATACCCTCCTCCTTCTCCATGCTGCTGTCATAGAAGTAGATGTGTTGGGTGGTGAGCTCCAGGCGCCCAGGGATGACATCCACCACTGTCACCAGCTCGCAATCCTCTGACAGCACCATCTTCTCCCTCTGGACGGCCTCCTCCGTCTCGCTCCTGCAGCCAGCGAGTATAAACCTCCATGCCAAAGCTTCCCGTAGCCTAACCCCCATAACCCCACCCACAAGGCCAGCCCCCATAAGCCCACCCCTTTAGCCCCACCCCCCACACTCACATGGGGTTCCCCCCGCTGGGGTCGTCCTCTGGCATGTCCAGCATGTCATCCTCCAGGTCACTGACCTTTACCTGCTTTGCTGCCTCCAGCAGCAGAGACTCAGCGTTGGTCTGTTGCTGCTGCATACCTGGGTGGCGAGTATACGAGTGGATGTTAGCGACGGCAGCGAAAAGGAAAGGGGGCACCGTCCAGCATGGCGGGACTTCACTCACCCAGGTTGTCCCTCAAAGCGCTGGCTTCACGATGGGGGTCGAAGCTATAGTTGGGCACCAGCTTGAGCCTCATACGGGAGTAGTTCTCCACGCTGGAAAGCCTCCAGTGCCTCTTGCCCTGCAGCCTATCCAGAAAGCCGCCATCAGGGCCCAGAAAGCCGCCACGAACACCTTTTTAGGACCCCCCTCCATGGCTTCCTACTCACTCCTCGGCCCATGGGCCTCTCTCGCAGACCAAGTTCCGTCGTGCTGCCTTCCACTGCCTCAAGATGGCGCCATGCTGGCTGTGCAGTTGCTTCAGCATGCTGTTGTAGCGCAGGTTCTCCTGTCGACTGCGTCGGGAGAAAGGCTCCACGAACTGCTCCTGAAGGCCGGGGGAGGGCAGGGGTTGGGGGTGAGTGCGCCTGGAGCAGTGCCTCTGCAGGCATAGAGGGGGGGGGAGGGCGTAACGTGGCTGCGACCCTCACCTGAAAGCGGATCTTGCTCTCCCCCCGCTCCCTCTCTCGCCGGTGCAGGTTCACCATGAACGCCTCGTAACATTCCTTCCAGAAGAGCGCCATGGTTTCGTGCCCCTGGCTGAACATCTCGATCTCGTACTGCTTCATGTAGGGGATGATCTGCAATACGGGTAACCAGCCAGTCAAGGGAGCGACTCTCCCAGTATAACCAGTACTACTCAAGCAGTGGAATCCTTAGTGTTGTATCATTATGTTCTGTGTTGTAGGTTAAGTTGAAATGTCCTACACATGAGCTCTACATAAAACTACTGAAATGTGCAGATTTCACACTGATTCCAGTATTTGTTCCCTGTTATCCTGACATCCACTGATTTTTCTCATCACTATCATACTGTTATCCCTGTCTGTATGATCATGAGTCACACGATCCGGTCCGGAAACGATGCGACATACGTATTTATCGAGATAGATCCTCCACTCGGGCGAGCTGCAGTAGAGCTGAAAGTCCTCGAAAAAGGACGGGCTCCCATTGGTGTCGGGCAGCGAGGGAAGGTGCAGCTCCATGTAGAGCAGCTTGTGGATCTTGGATAGCAGCGTGCGCAGCAGTGGGATGAGGAAGGAGTAGGTCTCCGTCTGCTCGCGCACCGAGCGGCTCAGGATGCCCTCCAGGCGGCCCAGTAGGTAGCAGGCCTCGTCCTGCGTCTCCACGCTCTTCGTCTGCAGGATGGCGTTCAGCTTGGCCGTCGCCATGGCACACACCTGCAGGCAGGGGGCGTCACGCAGGGCACTGGTGTCCTTCCCACATTTTGGCCCCGACATCAGAAACATTCGCCCCCTCACCTGCATGTTGTCCTGTGCCATGAAGCCCAGGAGCAAGCGGATGCCGACGCGGCACAACTGCAGCCACTGTGTCCCCGAGGAGTACCACACCATCAGGCTGTCCATCAGCGTGACAGCCTCCTCCAGCAGCCGCTCAGTCCACAGCGCCGGGTTCACCAGCCCCTCGGCCTGCAGGAAGTCCTGCAGGATGTGCAGCAGCCGCACGGCATTCTCTGTGTGCTGCGGCAGCATGGCGGCCGTCGCCTCGCGGTTATCGGTCACTGCCCACTCCAGCATCTTCTCCAGGAGGCTGGAAGCGGGACCCCGGCTTTCATTTAGCATTTATAGTATTTTCCACTTCTATTTGTGAGTTTTCGCTAGTTTTCAGAGGGATATCAGTAATTTCCATGATAAAGATATGTTCAGTTTTTATATATATTAGTTTCAGCTAAAAGGTTTTAGTAATTTTACTTCTGGTGAAAAGTGTACAGCTATTTTATGTCTGATCTCTAGAACCCTACATGAATACACAGAGGACATTATGCACTAACGTCCACAAACTGGACAAAACATGTTCTTGGTAAATAAAGATAAACCATGACTTTAGAAACCCTAACAAAGTTTCTATTTTTATTTTCATTTTATTTTTAAGTTTTTGTTTACTTGTGGGTTATTTAATTCCATTTTTGGATCTTATTTCAGTTTATGAAAATGTTTTAGTTTTGTTACCAATAACCCTGGCGGGTCCTGGGTAGACAGGCAGGCGCACAAGAGCCACAAAAGTCATTACGGCCCACATCTCCAAACCATGTCTAAGAAGGGTTCTTTAATTAGCCACAAGAGAATAATTTCCCTGACTCATTCACTATTATACTGGATTCTCATTGGCTGAGAGCATAGCCGGTGATTTGGTGGCTGCCTGATAATGAAGGACCTTCCAACCTGCATACCTCAGCTTGATGTTATCAACGGGGAGCAGCAGCTCATTGGTGGTGCTCAGCTTGGTGAGGGCGGAGAAGACCTGACCGCGCTCCAGCCAGGCTGCATCATCGGAGCACTCCACCCCGCGCCACATCATACACAGCATGATCTCCAGCAGGATGCGGCACAGTTCCTCCTCGGTCCTCTAGGGGGAGACACATCCCAGGAGCTTTCAGAACGACAACACATACCATCCCAAGCTTCCTCATGACGGAAAGGAAGGTATTCACAGGAGGGACAGGAAACACAGAATCAGCCGGCGATGCTCCACCTCCATGCCGCTGAAGGATTCCCCGAGAGACAGGTCATCGCTGAACAGGAAGCTGTCCTCGGTGAGGGAGGAGGAGGCCTCACGCTCAGCTGCCGGCCCGGGGAAGGGCTTGGTGGTCTCCAGCGGTGACGGCGTGCTGGGCATGCTAGCGGGGGTCTGGCTGCCGCTATCGCCGTGCTCATACAGGTGCACGTGCGTTAAGTCCAGGGTGAGTCCGCTGGCCTTGGCGGCCCAAGCCTTTGCGGGTGGCGGCTCCCCGCTCTCCAGGCTGTCCAGGGAGCGGCTGTCGGCGATGCTGTCTGCCTCCTTCTCCTCATCCACCCGGGTCTCTGCAGGGTCCCTCCTGTCCCCCAGGGGGCCGCCACCATCCCTGCTGAGATCCAGACTGCCCGTGCTGCTGCCGCCGTCTCCCCCCCCACCGCGACCTGGCGCGCTCTCGGGGCCCAAGGGCCGCAGGAACAGCTTGGCCAGTGTTTCCTGCCAGCAGAGCTGCCTGGAAATCTGCTGGGCGGCATCCTGCTGCGACTGGAGGAGGTGGTACAGCTGGGTGGGGGCAAACGTGAGGGTGTGTGTCACAAAAGTGACACTGACACAAACCCCAGAGGAACAGCAGCCAGACTCACTTTCGGTTCCTCCTTCTTAAGGCTGCCAGATAGGCACTTAATCTGTGATATGCACGCCTGCACATGCGCCTCACCTTCTTGCACACAAGCAGACGTACACTGAGCCCAGCCCGGTGGCTCAGCTGGACCAGCGCCATCAGATCCTTGTAATTCACCACAGGGTCTGCAGATGATAAAAACCAAAGGAATAACCACATAAATACACCCCAGGCGTCGTTAAGATCCACTCTGCCGATCTCAGTCCTCAGTCAGGCCCGTCCCAAACCACAGCCTCCTGGACCGGCTGTGGAAATCCGGCAGTGCTTTCCCGCCGCCCACACACACACAGCTGGCCTGGGGGGGGGGGCATCCTTCCAGGCAGGGCAGCAAATTGGGTGAAAAGGGATGGCCAGGCTGGGGGGTGGCAATGCGAGGGCTCACCCGCAGAGAGCACCTGGTCCAGCAGGCTCCGGACGAGCGTGGGGGTGACGTGCAGCTCAGAGAAGAGCAGCGTCAGCCCTGAGTAGCCAGCCTCCCGCAGCTTCAGCCTCTGCTTGCTCTTCTCGTAGACGCGGTCGCATTTCAGCATGCGCTGAAAGAGCTGCGAGGGTGGTGATGTGAGACATCAACAAAGACCAAATGCAGGACAACACAAAAAAAAGGAGCAGCCATTTTGGTCACGAGGACGTTTACTAATGACTGGTGACGCATTATCCGAGAGAGTCTAACGTTCTTTAACACATCAGTGCATGTGAAGCCCGGTGAAGCCACAGCCTAAGCAGATATTCTCTTTGCCCTGCCTAATGGGCTTTCTACTTCAGGGTGTCGAAAACAACTTTAAGAACAAAACCCTGTTTTGGGAAGACAGCAAATGTAAGGAACACTTCCTAATCAGGCTTAATGATCCAGTTGGGTCCAGGGTAAAATGGCACAGGAACACACAACATGTGACAGACCGAGGAGAACCAGGGGAACCGAGGCTGGCCTGGCAATACCGTCCCGCAATCGGAAGCAGCGCCCACCCCCGGCACGCCGACCACCACCCCCGGCACGCCGACCACCACCCCCGGCACGACTACTGTCCCCGGCCGCCGCCCACCTTGAAGACCAGCTCGCGTAGCCGGTCTGAGTACTTGCTGTTAAGGATAAGTGCGTAGCAGGTATCTGCAGCCCCGGGTTCAAAGAGCAGCAGGAAGAGCTGGTCTCTCGCCATGCTGGTCTGCAACAGGCTCAGCAGCAGCTCCAGCATCTCACAGAGCTGTGGGGGGCAGTAGGAGAGAGCAGGATTCAGGCCGGGGGGGGGGGGGGGGGGGGGGGGG